AGATTTACATGGTAGTATTTATATGATAAGATTGAATTAATATACCCATATAAAATGTTGGGTCCATAAAGAGAGTATACCTTCTTTCCCCCAAGAATTCTTGGAAATTTACAAAAACCATTCAGTCTCTCCAACCTCTGCACTATTCAAAATGCCTATCACACATCCCAGAAGCAACTGAGTCGGCAGCTGGATATAAAAACCTGGAGTTCAGGGAAGAGATTCAGGTACAGATACTAAATCTGGGGAGTTACCAACGCATGGATAGCATGGAAAGTCCTGAGGCTGGACAAGATCGTTAGGGCTGCAGAGGAGAGATCCGAAGACTGAGCTCCAGAGAATTCCAACATCAAGAGGTCTGGGAAACGAGGAACTGGCAAAGGAGTCCAAAAAAGATGAAAAGCCATTGGGGTGGGAGAAAAAGCAGGCAGGTGTGACATTATTGAGCCACGTGAAGAAAGTGTATCACAGAGGAGAGGGTGACTGGCCATGTCCGATGCTACTGCCAGGAAAGAACAAGAGGACTGAGAACTGCTCACTGGCTGTAGCACAACAAGAACATGATGGCCTTAACAGCAATAACAGAAAAACCCAGTGGAGAGGTGGAGGCAAGGGCCTGATTGAAGAGGACGCAAAGGAGCACAAGAGGAAGGAAATGGGAGACCTGAATATAAGAGCTTTTTGAAGAATTTTTGGGACTTCCCTGGTGGTGCAGTGGTTAAGAATCTACCTGCCAATGCAGGGGACACGGGTTCGATTGCTGGTCCAGGAAGATCCCACATGCCGTGGAGCCATTAAGCCCGTGCACCACAAGTACTGAGCCTGCGCTCTAGAGCCCATGAGCCACAACTACTGAGCCCAGGCGTCCTAGAGCCCGTGCTCCACAGCAAGAGAAGCCACCGCAATGAGAAGCCTGCACACCACAATGAAGAGTAGCCCCCGCTCGCTGCAACTAGAGAAAGCCCGCGCACAGCAACAAAGATCCAATGCTGCGAGAAAAAAATAAAATAAAAAAGAAGAAGAATTTCTACTGTTTATGGGAAAAGAGATATGGGCAGCAGACAAAAGAGAAGACTGGTCAAGGCGGGGTTTTTTCACTGGTGATGGTGGTGGTGGTGTTTTTTGTAAAAGATGGATGAAATTAAGAATCAGTTTTGTACGCTGATGGGATTCATCTAGTAGAAAGGGCAAAGCTGGTGTCAAAAAGAAAGGAAGAAGTGCTTGAGTGACATCCTAAACCAGGAGAGAGGGGAGGTGAAGAGGGAATGGAAACAGCTAGACAGAGAGGCTGGCCTCAGTCAGGAACACAGTTCCCACGGTGATGGGGACAGCAGGGTGGGTACAGCTGATGGAGCGGGTATCCATGGCAGTGGATGAGCTCTTCGAATTACCTCTATTTCATCAGGACCGGGAGGCAGTGCCAGAGGCTTAGAGAAGGAGGAAACTGAAATATCCGTCAACTAGGAGAATGAAGGAACTAAGACAGCGGAACATGATTTGTGGTTGGGATTAATGGGATTTGAAGCCAGCGGTCAGGAATCGGAAGTGATCCCAGTGAACATGGTAGAATACATTTCTCTAGAAAGAGAGAAGGCAGAGGTGAATCTTAACTTAAGTTGGAGCTGTGCAGACAAGTACAGTAAAGGGAGGGAAGGGGAATGGAGTTGAGTGTACTGAAAAGAGTGACTTTAATGAATGACTGAAATTCACACTTGGCAAGGAAAGAAGTGAGGGTGTGAGGGGCTGAGAACAGTAGGATCAGTTGATTGTAAGCTAAGGATACTTACTAGAAAAGAGTAAGCAGTGAAGAGTAGAAAGTGGTGTCAGAAGGAGAAAGCCTTGCAACTGAGATGACAGAGGGGGTGCCTGTCCTCGTAATGACACGATCTAAGGAGAGAGCACAGAGGGAATGGCTGAGGGAAGGTGAAGAACAGGTGACTGAAGGAGAGGAGCTGAAGGAGAAAGATGCAAAGTCCTACATGAATCATCTGAAATGATACTGAAATGACTAAGAAAAGCATAAAAGGAAGAGAACTGGAGACACACCATATAAGGAAGATCCTAAAAGTAGTCCCAGGGCTTCCCTGGTGGCACAGTGGTTGAGAGTCTGCCTGCCAATGCAGGGGACACAGGTTCGTGCCCCAGTCCAAGAGGATCCCACATGCCGTGGAGTGGCTGGGCCCGTGAGCCGTGGCCGCTGAGCCTGCGCATCCGGAGCCTTTGCCCCGCAACGGGAGAGGCCACAACAGTGAGAGGGCCACGTACCGCAAAAAATAAAAATAAAAATAAATAAATAAATAAATAAATAAATAAAGTAGTTCCAAACACGGAAAAAGGTAAGAAAGATACAGATTGTAGAGAGACACTCTGAGGGTGAAACCACGTGAATGGACGGCGAAACACAAACAAGACAACAATGGGAAATAACACTTGCGGAGCAATGGCTGAAAATGGACAGGTGCCCAAATTGGGGGAGGACCTGCCTGTTTCACTGTGGAGACAGTCAAAGGACGGGAGAGCTGCAGGAGGTAGACGGTAAACACCAAGTCCAATGGCACTGAAGCTGCCAAGTGCTGTACTCAATTTCCTGCTGGGTGTATTACTGAACGGCTCACCGCAACCTAACTCAACAGGACCACAGCCGAATTCATCATCTTCCTCCACCCTCATGCCTCCTGTGTTTTCCTTCCCCTCCTTCACTCTATACTCTAACATCCAACTTCTCTCTAAATCTGTCTCTAAAAGTCTCCCTCAAACAGATGCGCTGGGCTCCATTCCGGCTCCACCACACCAATCAATAACCCTTCCAACCACTCCTGCCGTTTCTAAACTTTCTCTACTCTGCCAGAGTGAGTTTTGAAAAATATAACTCTATCACTCAGTGCCCTGCTTAAAACCATTTAATAGGTTAAGCTCAAAAACCTCAAGGTCAGGCCTTTGCCTCCCTTCTCAAGCCTCCTCTCCCATCCTCCCTGGCTCTCTGCTCCAGTGACGCTGGGTGTCCCCCGGGGGGGGGGGGGACCTCAAGCAGACCACGCTCTCTCTTGTCTCCAGAACTTTACATATATTATACATCACTCTGCCCGGAATGTGTCTCAATCCCAGCTGACTCCAAATAAGCCTTCAGTTATCAATTTAGACGTCAGATCCTCTGTATGCCTTTCTTGAATCACTTAGATTAGTGGTCCCTCTACACCCAGTTCCCAGAGAGCAGCTCTGAGCATCAATGGAAATAAACTAGAGATTTCTGCAAGAATGAAGCTGAGAGGGTAAGGATCCAGGCCCCCTACCCCACTTTAATAAGAGAACTCTTTTTTTTTTTTCTATTTCACATATGCATAAATGTAAAGGTGTTATTTGAAAAGAAGGCATCCCTATAAAGTCATTTGAAAACCACTAGACTAGATCATCTCTAAGGTCTCCCCCAGTTCTGAGAGTCTCCTTACAAGATGATATCATGAGGGAAATAACTCCATAGTAACCCCTCATCAACCTTTACGAGGGATGGAAAGTAGTTATAATCATAATAAAGATCCGGATTGCAGAAGAGCACTTGGCATGATCAAGGTCTCAGAGAAAATATAGGGCTGGACAAGAACAATATGAATTGTGTTACTACATGGAAGTACTAGAATTATCCTTTCAAGACAAAGGAGATGAACCTCATTGAACACATTTTCTAGTAGACAGCGTTGCTGACTCGCCTCTGTCAATTATTTAGGAAACAACACACTTACATGGTTATACTCTGATGCCTGCAGCACAGTGGTTAAGAGCTTGGGGTCTAGAGGCGGATGCAAGAGTTCAAATTTCAGCTCTTCCACTTACTAGCTACGTGACCTTAGGAGAATCACTTAAGCTCTCCAGGCCCCAGTCTCTCACCATAAAATGAGAAGGATAATGTCTACCTGATAGAGCTGGGCTGAGGATGAACTGAGATAAAGCACAGAAGAATTCAGAACACTGGCACTTAGAGAAAACTCAGCAAATGCTTACAATGGGTGTATGCACACATATTTATGCTCAGGTTGTATTACACAGCCCGAATCTCTTCTTAAAGTTTTCGAACCAGTCCTAACTGGCTTGAAATTTAACCTCTTTCACAATGAGATTCCCTTTCATTTTTTTCCAGTCTTGGCAAAATGCACATTAAACCATCTGTCCTTTTCTTTGTAGGGCCATATTTATCATGGTGCATAAGAGCACATTTTTATGTACCTGCTCTTCAATTCACTTTTTGGAAAGTAAAGCACAGATCTTCCCCCTCTGCACTAACACCATAGACTCAGTTATATCATCTGAGGGAAGAGAAGAATTAATTATTTTTGTATTCCTGGGTCCTGACCTAAAATGAACTTGTGTTTAAAAAATCTCATATTGTGAACTTTTATTATACAAGTATGAAACAGTGTTATCTAAAGACCATTGTTACCAAACCAGGGCTGGCAAGGAACCTCCACAGTGTCAGCCATTAAAAAAGGAAGTATTCTACGAGTACCGTGATTTTCCTTAGTGCTTCAGGACACAGAAACAAATGCCAGACAAGCAGTAGTATTGACAAACAAGCTTCGTTTTTCTTTTTCTTTTTTTTACTTCCTTCTCTCCAGCAAAGATTCTTTTCTAACTAAATAACTAAAAGTCATACCACAAGAAAAAATGAGAACTAGTCTTTGAATAAACAGAGTTTGCCTATGACCCTCCACCACATACAGAGTATATACATGGAAGGCTTAGATCAACAATGAAATGCTCCAAGGTCATTTTTTAAGTGACAACACTAGTTAAGATGATGCCAAACTTCAGCCAAGGCTAAGCTATCACTGCACAGCTAAACATAGTGACCAAGACGAAACAGCCCGCGGTGAATACACAGCCCGGAAAGATAACGAGATACCACTCTTCCAGGCCACAGACATCTCAGTTGCAATTAACTTCTATTTTTTTTAAATCATTTTTTTAAATGACTCTTTTCATAAAGTCCAATAATGCCGATAACTTACCGGTCAGCAGCTTCTACATCAAAACAAAACCTTCTGTCGATGGAGTCAGTATGTCTTCTGATACATTCTTTCAAAAAGAACACCTCTCCGTCCCCCTGCAAAGAATCATTTTAAACATTCTCAAGAACTACAGTATAAACGTATACGGAATTAAGCACCCTATATTTGATGGGGGGAGGAGGCAAGGTTCAGACTTTAGGTTCCTCTATCTGATTCTCTTTCAAACCAGTTTATTTAGAGTCGTAGCCATTTTTTTTAACTTTTTATTTTATATTGAAGTATATTAACAACATTGTGTTAGTTTCAGATGTACAGCAAAGTGATTCAGTTATCCATATACACGTATCTATTCTTTTTCAAATTCTTTTTTGTCACTGTTCTTTTCTTAAGGTTTTCAAGACCCTGCTTTGATTACAATAAAATTAAACCAGACCTTATGAGTGCTAATTTTAAAAGGTGGGTTAACAATACAGTTTCCACATGCCTATATTTGTTATTCTCTTATTGTCCCCTCGTTAAAAGAAGGATAATGTGTTTGTATGTCACATTACATTATACCATATAAAACAGTCCATATGTAACCATTTCTGACCTATAAAAACTTCAGTTCCACAGGAATCTACCTAAAAGTACACTAAGGACCCTGGATCAGCCATTGTGAGCATCTAAAGCTGGAACCACTCCAACTATATGGTTTTGCTGTTTCTTAAAGTGAATCACCCTGAATTTATCTTTCCTGAGTTTTCGTTTAAATATCGTACCATTTACCTCCCTAAACCATCCTCCTCATGCTCTTTAAGAGCATTAAAAAGAGGTAGAAAACAGGAAACAGAAGCAACGCAGAAGCAGGTTCCCAGTGAGAAACTGTAAGGAGTCTGAGTAAACACTTCTAGACTATTTTAATATTTTCTGGAACATGGGGATCTCTAATATTAAACAAGCGTTTGAATATAAAATTATTCAAAATATCAGTCATGTTTTTAAATATATTTTTTATTATTTGGTAGCGAAAACAGAAAGACACCACTAAGCAGACATGTCTTGGGACTTGACAGGAAACTCACACTCCAACCTCATGCTCAGTTTATAACTGAAACGTACAGAGATGCTGAAGTGAACCCATATTTATCCTTTTACTACAACTTTTGATTGTATCAGTGGCCCTCTGAAATGTGAAATAATCGCGGGCATCTGGTGAATGAATTGTGCACTGCTGCTGTTCATTCATGGAATTTGCTCTTTTATTAAAAAGCAACAAATTTTGCTTTCTATGCGTCTGACACATTACATTTGACAAACATAAATTACTGCGATCTTTAAAACAACACTACCACCACAAAACAACAACGACAAAAACTCTCACGCTCAGTCTTCACCCATCACCCTCCAAGGGTGACAACCTCACTTCCTCCTCTTTGCCATGGACTTGATTTTCCATGTCTATTTCAATATCACAAAAATGCGTTTGTATTATAAGCGGCTTTAAGTATTTTTCAGGAAGATGCAAAGTATGTGTAAATACAAGTGAACTTGGGTTAATTCTGTATTCACATAAGAAAAATTATGCCCATCCACCCAGCAAGCAATGAATTAACCTTAAAATGCATTACCAGGTATGTGCAACCCTAGTGGGAGGAGCTTTGTTTTGACTGCTATTGTTGCCACGAGCTGCAGTTTCCCTTTTAAAACAAAGATCCCCTTTCCTACCCAGCCAGCTCCTAAGGGCTTCTCGCCCTTTTCCAGCTATCATGAGTTCCTTTGCTTTTTACTTCTGTGGGAGGAGTAAGCTAAATGGGGAGTGTCTAAGTGAGAACGTTAAAGTTTAAGTGAAAAACAGTAAACTTCGTTACAGATCATCTACTCTATATAATCTTTTCATCTGTATGAATCTATGCGTGCACATCAGGCCTCCCGTGTAAATCCTGAGCAGACAAACCACTGAGTCATGAAAGTCTGTTGTAGGTGTTAACTGGATCTTCCAATAACAGGGACACAAAATGATTCTACTCTTCTCCTTAAAAAAAAAAATCTGACCATAAAAACCCATGCCAACAATTCAGAAAACACAGGAATTATTTTCTGGCCTATTTTATTTAAAAAAAAAAAAAAAAAAAAAATTTTAATTAAAAAAAAAAAAAAAAATTATTTTTTATAATTAAAAAAAAAAAAAAAAAAAAAAAAAGATTTTCATTCTAAAAACAGAATGAAAGTATTTATCATGAGTGAATATAAACAACATTAAAAAGATACCCTCAAAGACCACCTCACAGAGAATATAAAGTATAAAAGGAAAGCCTTGGGACTCCCCTGGTGGTCCAGTGGGTAAGACTCTGCGCTCCCAATACAGGGGGCCCAGGTTCGATCCCTGATTGGGGAACTAGATCTCACATGCATGCCACACTAAGAAGCCCACATGCCGCAACTGAAGATCCTGCACGCAGCAACTAAGACCTGTTGCAGCAAAAAATAATAAATAAATAAGTAAATATTTTTTTAAAAAATAAATAAATAAAAGCAAAGACTTACTAGTTTCCCCCCAGATCTGTGCTCGAACGGAATGATGTTGAACTTCTTGGCCGCTTTCCGATACATGCAGTAGTGTTTGACCCAGCTGGAACCAAACGGAGGAGGCCCTTCAACAAGAGACATAACTTTAAATCAACAAGAACTTACTGTATTGCACAGGGAACTCTATTCAATATTCTGTAATAACCTAAATGGGAAAAGAATCTGAGAAAGAATAGAAACATATATATGTACAACTGAATCACTTTGTTGTATACCTGAAACTAACACAACATTGTTAATCAACTCTGTTCCAATACAAAATAAAAAGTAACCTGAAACTACCACAACATTGTAAATCAACTCTACTCCAATAAAAATTTAAGAAATAAAATAAAAATTAAATTAAAAAAGAAAAAGAAAAGAAATAGGACTTTACATTTTTTCCTCATAAAGAAGCAGATATGCAGAGTTCCAAACACAATCCTGAAGAGAAAAAACCCAAGAAGCAGCAACTAACACAGCTCAAGGAAACAAATCAGCAACACAGCTGGTCTTAGACAAGGGAAAAACAAGGGGAAATACGAAAGCTCGTAGAGACAGTCCTAAGAGTTTTCAGCAACACGGAAGTAATTTCAAGACATACTTTTCAAATAATTTGCTAGACTGTTATCTCATACCTGAAACTCTCTTAATTGTAAACTATGCTTCTTGTGTCTACGTATGAAGAGCTCGTGAGGGTTTCAAGAATTCCACTGAATATATGGGATGGTTTTGGATTCAATTCTGGCCTCTAAAAAATGACAGAACTGTAGAATCACAGTGCAGAAAAGCATTTAGTCTATACATCGATCTAGTGCTTTAAATCCACTAAAGCACCTTGTAAGTAGCTGCCCTTACTAACAATGGTAAAGCTAAGCTTTTTTGCAGCATGTGGAATCTTAGTTCCCCGAACAGAGATCGAACCCGTGTCCCTTGCATTGGAAGCACAGAGTCTTAACCACTGGACCGCCAGGGAAGTCCTACTGTCTTTTTCATCTAAAAAGTCTTAGGCTTAGACCAAATGCCTGAGAAATGGCAAAGCCAAACCTCAGAGTCTTTGGCCCCAAATATCAAGGAAGGTCCTTCACTGATTAAGCTGCCATCCCCTCCTGACACCACCCAACCCTACTCAACCAGCTCTGAGCATAGAGATTAGTGATGGTTTTTCACACCATCCAAGCTTCAGGCAATACTGCAGGACAGGGTACAACACGGACTCCAGCCTAGGACAATTCCAGCACTGAGGAGGTGTATGATCCAGGAAACATTGTTTACTCCTCAGTGTTTCCATGTTCTCATTGGTAAATGGGGTGATAACAGCACTGTACACTTCACAGGGGTTTTTAATGGATTAAATGAAACAAGTTGGATAAAGAGCTTAGCACAGTGCCTGGCATACTGCTAACAAGTGAAGAATTCTGTCACTATTGTTTTTTTTGTTTTTTTCAGTCCAATTTCAGCCCCGTTTCTCTCAAAGCCAGTAAGTTAAGCAACAGTTATGAATCTAAAAATCAAAATTTCCTGTGATTTTTCGCTTTGGACATATAATACAAAATTTCTATCCTTCTCATGTCTCCACCCTGTATTTTTAGTTCTTTCAAATTAAATAAACAAACTGAGATTAAGAGGATAAAAAAAAATTAAAGGCGGAAGGATGGATTGGGAGCTTGGGATTAACAGATGCAAACTAGTAAATACAGGACGGATAAACAACAAGGTCCTACAGTACAGCACAGGCAATTATATTCAATATCCTGTGATAAATCACAATGGAAAAGAATATGAAAAAGAATATATATATGTATAACTGACTCACTTTGCTATACAGCAGAAATTAACACAACACTGTAAATCAACTATACTTCAATACAATTTTTAAAAAATAAAACATTCACTCTACACACACTTCAATAGCTGTTGTGCTATTGTTCCTAATGGCACCTTTAGAAACGGTATGCTTTTACTGTTCAACCAAAATATGTAAAAATAAATTACCTCTCAGTTTTTTTGAAAAAAAAAAAAGAAAGATTAAAAAATTAGAAAAATGTAGAGTTCTGCCATGCCAGTAACTGTTCATCGTGAGCCGTGAAGGCTAAGCCCACATTAAATAAGGGCAAATGGAAAAAGAACCCCTATTCTGCGATTGCATATAACATGAACATCCGTATCACATGGCTGTTCCATGAGTCTCTCTGCTATGAAGTTATTCAGTTTGAAAATCCTGTAAATCAGCCACTTAACAAACAAAAACTCTAAAGCACCCGGCGGGAAGGGAGAGAAACAGGAAACACAGAAACATTTTCACATACTCCTCCCCCTACTGGCTAGCAATCAAGCCCTACAGTTGAAGAGGTAAACTTTAAGAGCTTCGTTAAAATAAGACCAAACTCTCAGAAGTCTGAAATCGTCTTGGGGTGCCTTAATTTCCAAATAAGGATACTCTACACACTGCATAACAGCTAAGATGGCAACAATGCTGAAAATTCAGTGAGACAAGTTAGCATGTCAACTAGGAGTATTTTTTTGTAGCCGTATGCAATTGCCCTGAAAATTTCAACAAGAACAAAAAACCATCTCAAATAAATCTGCAAAGAAATCATGTGAAAGAAGAAGAGAAATACGTCCTTCTTGACTTTAACATGGAGGAACAGTGTTATGGGGAGAGGGGTGCATACGTATATGAATGTGTGTGTGTGTGTCTGTGTGTGTGAGTGAGATAAAGATGGGTGGGGATGAGAGGAAATGAGGAAAAAGGTACTATCCCACCTCGCTTTCAGTCTGTCACCAAATCCCGGCTCCCTTGCAAGCAAGTTTTAACAAAGTGTGGCACAGAATTCGGGGGGTGTGGCTGGAAAGCAGGGTGCTCACAGAGTTCCTAATCTCACCATCCCCTCCCTAGAGCAGGAATGTGTTTTCCCCAAAAAAATCCAACGTATGCCCTCCAGGATAGGAGAGAGCAAGAAAGCGGTAGGAATAATTACTCCAAAAGTATCAAATTACAGTGAGACTTTTAAACTAATTTTTAATTAGTTATTCATCACTGTTGGAGAGCCTCTTACTTTTTTCCTGTACATACAGGTAGCCTTCCGCTGTGAACTGACTCGCTCGTTTGTGGTCCTTGGGATTCTGTCTAATCTTGTTCATAAGCTCTTCCACTTCTGACCTTGTTCCTTCAAAACGATTCCGTGTCTGAAAAGGATTTAAAAAACACATACAAGTTTTAAGTTCCCACAGGAGATTTTTCATGTCTGTTTTTAAGTCTCTGGATAACTATAATTAAATTTGTAGTGTTTTTGTACAAATTTCTCAAAATATACCCATCCTTTCCCATGTATCTCTTTGTTGAGATCACTGTGCAAAGAAAAAAAAATTAGTGGTTAAGTAGTTAACAGAGATATAGAAACCAAGGTTACTAAAGGTTATTTACTTTTGAAGCTTTCTAACACCAAGAATAATTCTATTATTCAACACAAGAATTCCTGCCTGCAGGTCTCACAATATTACTAAATCTTACATTTAAAAAAATAGGCCATAAAATATCTATCTGGGAAGTCTTTCCTTTGCAACAATCAATCTGACTCATTACTATTATCTCAGCAATATGTCTAAGAATTCAGAATCTGAAAAACTTAATTCTTCTTTGCAAACTAATAAACATCAGTGTCATTTTTTCCAGGTCATGGCAATTGCACTTGAAAATGATGTTTCTTCATCGAAGAAGGAAGTAGGGGGGAAACTCACTTACAAATAATGTCTTTGATATCTGAAAAGACAAATCACATTTCTGAAGCCCAGGAGACTTGGGATGTCAATATCTCTGTCAAATGGCTAGACTGAAAACGGACATGCAAGGTGAAGTGACGAAAATACCCAGGCAAACCTGACGAGTCAGCAGCACCAAGTTTCTGGACATTTCTTCCATCTACATTCAAAAATAATTGTATTAATACCGAAAAACTGCTGATGTGAAACTGTGGAAGAGCTAAGATGAAAAATTATTATTGAAATTCCTCCTCTCTCCTCCCTACAATGAAAGGGGTTACCAAGAGTTCTAAATGCAGAAAAATTATAGAATAGTACATTTTTTAGGGGGATGGAGAGTCTGATAAATGTACACTGTAAAGGGGAAACTTAACTGCAGAGGCTTATTTCAAACACAAGCTGAGAGCTTTTTTTTTTTTAATTTGTTTATGTACTATAAGAATGTACAGGGCTGCAAAGAGGGTGGGACTCATTTATTAACGGCTTGTTCCCTCTCCTGCCTTCCTGTTTCTCATGTCTCTGGGATTTCTTGTCCCCATCTTAATACTGATTATACCCTAATTTTATTCACCTGCTTTGTCACTTTACTGAGATTCTCCACAACCCTCACTTCTACCTGTGTATCTAATATTTATGCATACATACACACAGATATACACACATATGTGCATGTCATATATGTATAGATGCTAGTGCACGCATGCGCACGCGCGCACACACGCACATACACACACAATTAACTTAATGAGTTGTATCCCAAATTCTCATTATTTAAGTTAATGCTCAAATTGTCCTAGATTTGACCAGCAGAGGCCCCTTCTAGCTGGCTCCTGTTTCTCTTGACATACCCCCTTAATTCTGAGTAACCCCTCACCCTCTGGTCCAAAAAGGTATCCCAGGTTTACTTTATACTTTCTCTGTCCCAGTCCTAGAATCAGCCATCTCTCCAAAGGAGTCATTGTTCCTTACAGGGGAGGGTAGTATTTTTTTTTTACTGGAGTATAATTGCTTTACAATGGTGTGTTAGTTTCTGCTGTACAACAAAGTGCATCAGCTGTACATATACATATATCCCTATATCCCCTCCCTCTTGGACCTCCCTCCCCCACCCCATCCCACCCATCTAGGTCATCACAGGGCACCAAGCTGAGCTCCCTGTGCTATACAGCAGGTGCCCACTGGCTATCTATTTTATACCTGGTAGTGTAGTTGTGTCAATCCCAATCTCCCAATTCATCCCACCTGTTCTCTATGTCTGTGTTTCTATTCCTACCTTGCAAATAGGTTCCTCTGTACCATTTTTCTAGATTCCACATATATGCGTTAATATACGACATTTGTTTTTCTCTTTCTGACTTATTTCACTCTGGTAGTATTTAGAAACCAAGATCTAGGGACAGTGTGCTCACAGCTAAGGGGGTGCTATTGCTTCTAGGTCTTCCTGGAAGACAGACTGAGAAAATGCATGTATGTATATATATATGTGTGTGAATACATTTATATATATACACATTTATATACATATCACAACTTCTGTACCTATCTATCTTAAAACCCATGAGTTCATACCATTACACTTAATTCCAATCCAGTACTTCAGGTTTCTTTCTAGCCCACCCTTTTCCAATTCTGCACATTTCTCTTCAGACAGTAAAAAACATGGCTCCCATTATTCTCAACAGATTTACTTATTTGCTCAATTAACATATCTGCTCAACGTAACCAATCTCCCAAATATGCCAGCCACCTCTTCTGTACGTGCTGCCTCTGCACCTTCCCACCCCCACTTTCACTGCCACAGACCCCTCCACGTGGTACACTCTGCCCCCACTGCCGTCCTTCCTCAGATGTGATTCTGCACTGGGAAGAGAAAGGAAGGTTCAGCTAAATTTTTTAATGTATTATTTTAGGCAAATTACAAATGAGGGTGAAAATTACATTTCTCAAAACTTGAGCACAAATAATAGAGTGGCTGGAACCTAGCAATTTCCAATTCTAATTTCTGGCTGAATAGGAAGATATCATCAAATAATAATAATGATAGACCTTAAGTGTTACCATAGGTCACATGAGAGTGTTTACACTGTGAATGACATGACTGAGAGCAGTTTACGGTGCTTTAATCCTCACAATAACCTACGAGATAGCGTAGCGTTCTCCAATGCTGATAAAACAACATTGCTGTATTTCCTTTCCTTGCATGCTTTGATAAATAAACAAATTTCCAAACCAATGAGTCTTAAGTCTTATAAATTAAATATTTCATTACATCACCTACTGGGGGGAGGAGAATTCAATGTGGAGACTAAGCTGGAATTCGGACACATCTGAGTACTTTACAAAACTGGCAGGTCAGGCTTAGCACAGGTTCACACCCATATTTAAGGAGGAAAGAAAGAGGGGGGAGAGGAGGCACTGTTCACATTAAGTTTTACCCAGAAATAAAGCTTTACAGGCAGATGGCAAAGGCTAATTCCAAGTACAGATTGCCATTTTTCATTTAAGTTTTCCCATCCTGGCCCCATGACCTCATTCAGGGAGCAAAAGAATAATTAAAAATACAAAGAGGGGCTTCCCTGGTGGCACAGTGGTTGAGAATCTGCCTGCCAATGCAGGGGACACGGGTTCGAACCCTGGTTTGGGAGGATCCCACATGCCGCGGAGCAACTAGGCCCGTGGGCCACAACTACTGAGCCTGCACGTCTGGAGCCTGTGCTCCGCGACAAGAGAGGCTGCAACAGTGAGAGGCCCGCGCACAGTGATGAAGAGTGGCCCCCGCTCACTGCAACTAGAGAAAGCCCTCGCACAGAAACGAAGACCCAACACACCCAAAAGTAAATTAATTAATTAATTAATTAAAATATATATAAAAGAGGGTTTCACGAAGTAGCTGTAAGACATCAGGGGGTGGGCCCCCTGCAGCCTGCTTTAGTAACCTCCCAAAATAATAAAACAGAAAAGAAGGGGTAGGGTGCTAACACACACCCCTCGCTGCAATCCTCAAATATCTCCTCAAGTGCCCTATGAATGGGGACGTGACAGAGTAAGGAATGGAGTGCAGTGGATGCCACGGCAACAGGTGATCAAGTCTAAAAACACCCGAAGGACACCTTCCATGGGAGTGAGGGGAACGCAGGTTAGAACTGTTGAGAGGTAGACACGAGCTGAGGTTTACCATCAGTACCTAAATCTGAGATCTTACCATTAAAGTGACTCCCATGTTACCCAGAAATTGTTAAGGTCCAGGGAAGCCAAATGGCCATATCAGGATGTTCCCCAGCTCCTATATTTACTGACCCCAGATACACCATGAGTTGAACCCATTTCTACACCAACACTAAATCTGAAAGCAACTGCCTTGGGCCTGCCCAAGTTCCAGTGCTGCCCTGGCCTTAAAGCAGTATGACGTCAGCAAGTTCTTTTTCCTCACTGTCCTTATCTGTGAAGAAGGAATAAAAAAGTCTACATCATAGGACACCTTTGAAGACTAAATGTGTACAATCCAAAGAAAAGCACGTAGGTAACACCTGGCACATGGCAACAAAATAAATGTAAGTGGCATTATTATTTTTAATGCAATTAAGTCACTGAAAAGTGACAATTATTCCCTAACAAACGAAAAAAGAGAATCTTCAATATCAAACTAAAATTTTATCTGAATGAAAGAGAAAGTACATTTAAAAAAAAATTGGGGGGGCGGTTATAAAAGCTAATTCACAACATTATAAAACAGAGAGAGGGGACAGCACAAACAGCCCTGCCTGGGAGGCAAAAAGAGGCGGTATAAACAAGATTAAAAAGTGACCAGAAATTCACCTCTCAGAAACAATCATGTTCATATTTTTACACAGTCACTTCCAATCTTTTTTTTTTTTCCTGGTAACATAGTTTATCACTTTAGTGTTCTACTTTGCTCACAAAACTGTAACAAAAATATCTGTGCATATCCTTAAATTATTCTTCACTATTCTTAGTATCTTCTGGGTACTCCTTTGGAATCCCTAAAATTTCTTAGGATTCTACTTCTTCCTGCGAAGAACTCTACTCTAGTCTCCTTTGGGGATAGAGATCAAAAAAATTTTAAATTAGTTTTTTTTAATATCCTTTAATTTTGATGTAATTTACATTCTTCTGCAAAGTCTATTTTTTAAAAACCAACCTGCTCTTTTTTGCTGTCCATTAATTACTCTAGATTATGGAAAATGGAAAAAGACTGAATCTCTCTCAAAAAAAAGGTCTAACCATTTTTACAACAGAAAAGGTGAAACCAGTTGGGTGAAAATAGGTTATTTTCACTTTTAAATAACTTTTACCTTTTTTCTGATTATAAAATGGTTTTTGTCATTTTTTTCTATAGTAAAATACCTAAAAGTTGACCAAAATTATCTCTACCATTATAGTGCACAGATAGTTCACTCTAAGATTTGGTTTCAACATTTCGGTATATTTCTTTCAATACATAAATACACATAGCATAAAAAGTAACACACAGAAGTCAAACAGAGAACGACAAATACCATATGATATTGCTTATATGTGGAATCTAAAAAAATAATACAAATGAACTTATTTACAAAGTAGAAATAGACTCACAGATGTAGAAGATGGACTTATGGTTACCAAAGGGGAGAGGGGCGGGGAGGGATAAATTAGGAGTTTGGGATTAACATATATACACTACTATATATAAAATAGATAAACTACAAGGACCTACTGTGTAGCACAGGGAACTCTACTCAAAATGATAACCTATAATGGAAAAGAATCTGAAAAAGAATAGATATATACATATGTATGTATAACTGAATCACTCTGCTGTACACTTGAAACTAGCAACACTGTAAATCAACTATACTGCAATTTAAAAAAAAGTAACACACAGCTGGGATTTTTGTAATACGTAGTTTTATGCAGCCAACACTTCCCCTTCGATATGCTAAAAGCTGACATCCTCAGGGAATGAGAGAAATGGCCAAGAAAGTAGTAAATTACAGGAATACTGAGATATAGCAGGTGAGGTAGAATGAGTGGCATGTGTTTCAAAGGTTCTGGTATTTCTGAAGAGCAAAGAATGAGCTAGAAGCAAAAGTAAAGAGCACAGGCGACTTCCGGATCAGGTGTCCTCAACACTGAAGGTGAGGCGGAAGGCAGAGCCTCTACTTGCAGAGCTGCACGAGCAGCCTCAGAAAGAGCCAGAACAAAAGGCAGAGAGGTGGAGGACCCCAGGCAACTTCCTGATGACAATCCTGAAGTTCCAGAGGACACAGGAAAAGATTTTTTCCAGTAGCTTGTTCTTCGCCCAGTTCTTTATGGGAAATGAAAGTTACCAAGTATGTGTGTTAGGTTCTTAATAGACTACGTTAGATTCCATTGACCAGCTGACCCATTTCAAATGATAGGCTGTCTTCAAGTGTTGCTTACAGTAGTTCATGCCTGAGTATTGCTCACTCCCATTTAAATCCTGAATCTCGCTGAAATTATTTTGGTGTATTTAAGGTAACTATAGGCCCCTGACCCCAGGGTGGGTGTGATAAATGAACTTCCACATAAGCAAGTTGTGCATGGACAGTTTCTCTGAAGCCCCCAGGACACGCTGATGTGTCCCCAGACCCTGAGGCCCGGCGGGCTTCATGGGCAGGTAGCCCGTGCCGTCACCCACAGCCCTGCGCTCAGAAGGTCGCACACTTGATCTAATTCTCTGCCATCGCTGTCTTGAAATTCTTCATTTTTGAATAAGGGACCCTGTCTCCTCATTTTACACAAATTATGAACCAGTTATGCCTGAAGGTTCTCATCCAGGCCAGCCCTGCCCTTGACAGATGAGGTACAGACACAAGTTATACAGTTAGTGGAGGGGGAAAAAAAGAAAAAAATCAGGATTATAACCTAATCTTCTAAACTATGTAATGTTCTTTTTACAAACGCTGTGTTCTGCTGTCTACAGAAGTATTCTGATACATCACAGTATCATTAGACTAAATGTTCTATTACCTACAGAGATACTTTTGAAGTTAGGACTAATCTACACATATACACTTTGACATATTTTTAAATTATATTACCTTATATCACTGATCTTGGAGGGTGTAGGGAGGAATGTACTCTTTTAGTCATTTAACTGAACAGAATGTAGAATCTTCAAATACAAATTGACGCATAAATTACAAAACACAAGAGATTTCGTTACCTACATTCCCAAATGTAGGGAACAACTATACCAAAATAACTTAGAAACAAAATCTACACAAAAAGCATTAGTCCTCAATTTCTAAGATTATAAGAAGTTGAAGGTCAGGTAGCAAACAGCACAGAGATCCCCATCCTTCTCCTTGTATGTCTTTCAGGATGGGTTGAGAGTCTGTCCCAAAACTCACTCACTGTGTTTTTAACAAGGTTTGAAATTACATTAAACATAACTTGAATAGCTTTTCAATGAGGACACTTCCAAAATCAACAAAAGCGTTGAAAGGAAAAACATCTACCACCTTCTGATCAAAATCACATACATTATACTGTTTAACAGTTCTCAAAAAAACTCTTTATCCAAGACCTAACAGAAACCATACATTTCCTAGGAAAACAATAAAGGGCCAACAGCAACTGTGAACACCAATACATTAGTGAATAGGGAGGCACAAAACACAGGAAAGAAATTCCACTGGAACTGTTAGCCTATCTGGGAATAAATATCAAATAAGACATACAAGTAACAGAAGAAAGTTAAATTAGAATTGAAATGCCTTAAATTTAAAGTGGAGGACTGTTTTGTCTGTTTCATACAGAGCAGACTTAGACTTACACAATAGAGGTTATCCTTAGAACTGCCTCACAAAGTGCAGAATAACTATGTCACACTGCCACATGACTTGTTTCAAAGTTGCTAAGAGAGTAGATAGTCAAAGTTATCATAACAAGGAAAAAAAATTTTTTAAATACACGAAGTGATAGATATTAACTAAACTTATGCGGAAATCATCTTGCAATATAATAAGTGAAGTCATTAAGCTGTAACCCTTAAACTTACACAGTGTTGTGTGTCAATTATATCTCAATAAAACTGGAAAAATAAGGCAAATTGTGTGAAATTTTGATTGTAAAAACATACTTCATGACTTTTCTGAAAATAAGGGAAGAAAAATAAATTATAGGAAATGAATTCTTGAAAAACAAAACAAAACAAAACAGAGCCGCCTGCAGCAGAATTCGGAGCCTCCCTTCCTGGAAAACAGTTTGTTACACCAAGAACTGACCAGAAGGTGGCAACGTAGCCTCAGTTTCTCGGTACCAACAGATCAGCCTGGTCTTGGTTTAAGGCTTTTCATACACCAAAGAAATCAAAACTACACCTCTCAAACATCTTTTTTAGGAGAAAGCTTCCGTTTTCTTACATTCTGAATGTTGATCTGTAGTTCCATTTTGTAGTGATTGAAGTCTTTGGCAAGTTCATGGCCTTGATGATAGAAAGTAAACATTCCCTGAAAAAATGACAGCATCTAAAACAAAGGAGAAAAGGCAACATTAGCACCCAAAAAATCTCAGTGAAAAAAATAAATTAAAAAGCCACGTATTTTGCCTCATCTCATTATGATTCTATTGAAGTACAATAATTAAAAGGAAGTCACTAGAATTCAACTAAATCTAACTGCATATTATTCATTAATTTGTCCCTATAAAAAAAATAAAAGGATTTGTGATTTTTTTCCTTAACTATCAGAGCCATTAGACAGCTTTTACAGTATGCTGTATAGGAGAAATGGAATTCTACATCACCCATTTGTCCTTTTGAGTCAAGAGAATCCCTATATTCATTTGTAATTGAAACCTTATCACTATAGGTCGATAGGACCTGAAAGGAAAGTGAAATACAGATCAAAGAGCTAAAAGCTCTTTCGAAGGGCGTCCAGTGCAGAGTAACCTCTCTGTTTTGTTGACAAGGATGCTCAGTGACTGGAGCAGAGAGGGGCAGAGGCAGGGCAGTAATTAAGCCCTGAGTTTCCTACAAACTCTCCACCTGCCCCTCTTGATCAGAGGGCACTGCTTCTCCCCCACATGTGAGAAAATCTAGAGTAAGAGTGATTTGGGGTGAGGGTTAAGGAAATCCTGAGATTCACTGTCTTCAGAATGTCACACCGCATAATGGTAAGGAATTGGGGACTCTGACGTCAAGTGGCCAGCAAGGGTCAGTTCCCAACTGGGGCAAATTACTGAAGTTTCTCTACTTCAATTTCTACATTTGCTAAGTGGGATAATTAAAATATCTCCTCAGTAGGGTACCGTGTGGAATACATGCATGATCACAGAAAAGTACTTAGAACAACCACCTGAACAATGACTGAGCACTGTAAATGCTCAGTATATAAAATGTAGGCCATTATTATGATTTCACAGAAAAAGAAAGCTTTAAGGAGGTTTTCTCTAATTGTTTAATTTAGGGTAATTCAATTACTCCACTGGACCATAGCTTCCACGAATGCTAATTTTTAGTGAATCATTACTTGGTTTTTTTTGGTTTGTTGCTCAACATCATACACACAGTGGGTAAATTGTATGGCATGTGAATTATATCTCAATAAAGCTGTTTTTTAAAATCACATGCAATATAGTCTATGTTAAAACTAAAGTGAATCTTGACAATCATGAATCTCAGTGTACCTCTGGTTTTTTTGCTAAAACCCACAGTATAAAATACCCTTTATATTTTGATTCAGAAGATACATATATTCGTAGATATGTTAACATATAAGTAACTGAAGCTCTCAGAGTGCATCTATATAAGCACAAAAAAAAAATCATGTGTTTCTAAAATAAGTATAAAGAAATGTCAGAGGGCTTTCCTGGTGGCGCAGAGGTTGAGAGTCTGCCTGCCGATGCAGGGGACACGGGTTCGTGCCCCGGTCCGGGAAGATCCCATATGCCGCGGAGCAGCTAGGCCCGTGAGCCATGGCCACTGAGCCTGCGCATCCGGAGCCTGTGCTCCCCAACAGGAAAGGCCACAACAGTGAGAGACCCGTGTAACGCAAAAAAAAAAAAAAAGAAATGTCAGAGTAACTTACAAAATAGTTTCAAATGTTCCACACACTGGTTCTTAACTTAGGTTGCATAAGCATTGTGAATTGTATTAGAAATAGTTGGTGACCAATAATTGCTGAAAGTACCAAGGTTTGGATGGATGCACTTGCTTTAGAACAAACTTGAATAAAGATTATCCCATAAATATCCCACGCTCACTCACATTCCAATACGATTTCTTTCATGGGGACTTTTTTTTTTAAGGGTGGAGTTACAGCTAGGATGGCAGAAGTTGTACCTGATTGCAGAGTCCTTGAGACCATATAGCAAAAGGAATAATACTCATCACTCATTGCTGTGCAAACAAGGCCGAGAACCACTATTTAGAAGTGATTCTTTGACTTCGTGGCTCTGGGTGCACTGTGTACAATTTACGATGTCTTGCTTCGTGTTTAGGCACCACAGCCTCTAGCAACCATAAATTAGATCTTCAAAGAAACACATTCCTCTTATATCACGAAATTCGACTAGCAGAGCAACTTGCTATTTATACTTACAGGTTCCACAAACTCAAACTTCTTCCTCTCTTGGATTTCCTGAAGCTTACACACATATTCAAGAGACAGTTCGTAAAAGTGTTGCCGGTTCTGTTCCACTTGGATATCTGCCTATGTTAAAATAATGGAGGCCAGTCAAATTAGAGATGGTTCGGAGTGAAACTCTTTGCCCGAGGTCTGCAAAACTACAGTCCATGGGCCAAATATAGCCTGCTGCCTGTTATTCTAAACGAAGCTGTACTGGACCAGCGCCAGGACTACTCCTTTATGCATCTTCTATGTAGACTTGCGGGTACAACAGCTGACTTGAGTGGTTGCAACAGGGACCTCGTGATCTTCAAAAGTCTAAAATATTTACTAACTGACTCTCTGCAGACATCGTTTGCAAACCCCTGCTCTCTGTGACGAGACTGGCCCCGAAGGACAGAAGATCAAACAGTAAAAGGCACTTCATGAAAAACCTACCCAACCACAACGGACACCCAAGGTGGAACTGCACATGTAGAACCCAAATTACATAAACATTATTTCCGTTAACAAATCGCCTAAGAATGAAGTGGCCTGGGAAGGAGGGCTGAGCAAATTCCAGTCGCCACAGCTCTCAGGAGTGAGGGCAGCAGGCGAGGAAGTGACGGCACCATCTCAAGAACTTGGCTTTTGCAGAGAGGCCTGGGCTGGAAGCCCATCTGCAGGCAGTCGCTCTCCTAAGTCCTCACCATGTCCTGCCCCCTGGGAGGGAACAGGCACCAGATGGTCAGGAGACTATTCCAAAGAAAGGTTCCAGCTTCTCTTGTCTAACTAGAAGGGAACTGAGAGAGGGGATGGTTCCACAGAGGAACAGTAGTGAAACCTCTGGTCCTCAGAAGTGTTCTTACAAGGCATCTTGTATTTCCTAACTCAGCTAATTTTAGGTCCAGAAGTATTTATCTGGACATTTCTCCAAAGAGGCCATATCTAAGCACAGAGAAAGATGCTGGACATCACTTGTCATTAGGGAAACAGAAATCAAAGCCACAAGGTACCACCTCACACTTATCAAAAACAAAAAACAAATAAAAAATATCAGAAAATAATCCAAAAACCCTATCTCCCCCCACCAAAATAAAAAACAAAAACAAAAACAAAACCAGAAAAATAACAAGTATTGGTGAAGATGTGGAGAAACTGGAACTTCGTGCACTGCTGGTGGGAATGTAAAATGATGCAGCTACTATGGAAAACAGTATGGCAGTTCTCTTAAAAAAAAAAAAAAAGAACAAAAAAAACTTAAAAATAGAATGACCATATGATCCTGCAATTCCATTTCTGGATACTCACAAGAACTGCAAGCAGGGACTCAAAGAGATGCTTGCACACACACATTCACAGTAGCATTATTCACAACAGCTAAAGGGTAGAAGCAACCAAAGTGTCCACCGACAGGTGAAGGCATAAACAAAATCCAAAGATAATGGGATATTATTCAGCCACAGAATGCAAGGACATTCTGGCACTGCTACAACATGCATGAACCCTGAGAACATTATGCTAAGTGAAATGAGCCCGTCACAGAAGGACAGATGCTGTATGATTCATCTTAGATAAGGTAGCCGGAACAGTGAAATTCACAGAGACAGGAAGCAGGATGGTGGTCGCTGGGGAGCTGGGAGCACAAGGGGGCTGGGGAGTTAGTGTTTAATGGGCACAGAGTTTCAGTATCTCAAGCTGAAAGGGCTCTGGAGCTGGAATGTGGTGGTTACTGACAACAGCGTGACTGTACTTAATGGCACTGAATGAACTGCATGGCTGAACCTGGTTAAAATCATGCTTTGTTGTGTATATTTTACCACCACAAAAAGTTTTTAATTTGGGGGAAAAAAAGTATTTATCTAACAGGTGACAATTTTTTTGGCAGCATATCCTTTTTTAATTAATGTTTAACTATAATAAGAGTGTTTGTTACTAAGCCAAAATGAGAATTTCTACCTAACACTCATAAAAATCATGATTTTTTTATGCCTCTAAGACCCAGAGATGGAGAGTTCAGCCACTAGCAGTTAACAGACACAACTCCCAGGAGAAACAATGTGAGTGTGCTGAGTATTTAATAAAATGGAGATAGGGGAGGTTAAGGGTGGATTTTTCATGTTATGGTTACTAGGAAATGTCCTTCAAGAAAATGACACCAGGGTCAGATTTACCAAGGTGGTTTTTTAATTTAATTTTAGTGGATTCTCTCGCCTGGCTGTGTTACTGCAATTACCCCGGCATGGCAGGTCAGCTTCTGTCCACAGCTTCCTAATGCTCTGGGTGTTCAGAACCACTGTGCCAGGTGCAGCATGGTCCACCACAAGAAACCCTGGGACTGCCGGTAACCCGTAATTTACAACAATGCCACAGACATCCAAATTATACCTAGCAGCACCGTCCTTTAGCCTGACTCAGTCTAAAAGGCAATCACTATATATGTGATGTAAGAAAAAGTGTACGTGGTCTTTGTCTCAGACTTCCTGGCACAAATCTCCTAAAACCCTTGGAATTTCCTGAGCGAGAGAAGTGTCTCTAGTCATTTGTAAGGAGCCCCTTTTGAGAGCGCTTGAGTTTATGCTAATGAGGTGACTTAGGGTAGGGGCCCAAGATAGCACTCATTAGAGGGGTAGAACTTTCAGCTCTACCCACCTATTTCTGGGAAGAGGGGAACACTATAAATTAAGTTCTATAACAGCTCTTGAACAAGAGCTCATGAGCTTCCAGGTTGGTAATGTAAAAAAATTAATAAACTCACCAGAAGGGGGAGCTCACATGGCTTCAGACCATCGCAGAGCCCAACAAGAAGAAAGACCACTCTTCTTTCCTGGCTAGGACCCAGCCCAAGAAAAGCCAGGGACTCTTTACTATAGCCCTCTCAACTCTCTTTCCCTCTCAACAAAAGTGTTCTCCTTCCCTTGCCGTGCAGAAACTTGCCCTTGGTTCCCCATGGTTGCAGACCCTAAACTGCAATTCTCTGCTGATCCCGAATAAACCCATCTTTGCTGGAGAAATACCTAGCAGACTATTTATTTCAGGTTAACAGGAAACACATCCACTTGCCTAGAGAGTGACGTACCGCAGTTCCATGAGGACAGAAGTTTCTGCACTTGGGACCCTTCCAGACCCTGCCCTGTGCACCTCTTCATCTGGCTGTTCAACCGTATCCTCTATATTATCTGTTGTAATAAACTGCTAAACTTAACTAAATGTTTCTGAGTTCTGTGAGCCGCTCTAGCAAGGAAGGGGTCATAGGAACCTCTTCTTTGTAGCCAGTCAGAAGCACAGGTAACAACCAGGGCTTCAGACTGATGTCGGAAGTGGGGTAGTCTTTTATTTTTTTTTTTTAACTGAATTACAGTTGATTTACAAGGTGTTAGTTTCTGGTGTACAGCAATGTGATTCAGTTATACACACATACACATTCTTTTTCACATTCTTTTCCTTTATGGTTTATTACAGGATATTGAATATAATTCCTTGTGCTATGCAGTAGGACCTTGTTGTTTACCCATTCTGTAGATAATAGTTTGCATCTGCTAGTCAGAAGTGGGGCAATCTTGTCCACCTGAGCCCTTAACCTGTTGGCTCTGATGCTGTCTCTAGGTAGTGTCAGAGTTGAGTCAGTTGCTTGGTGGTGTTGGAAAACACACATTACATTTGAACTATACTTTTTATTACACCAAGCAAAAGTCATTTTTTTAAAACAAACATACAATTTCAATTTGATTATCATCTCATTTCTAACCATTCTTGCTGTTAATATGTATAAAAGAAGTAGATCACTCACACAAAGATATTCAAAGGATCTATTTCTCTGGTCATATTTACTGAAACATAATTATGTGACGACTCAGTGCCGACTTAAAAAAAATGTACAGCGTGCGAGCTGTGAGTTCAGTTTGATTTGGGGCAAAACGAGGACTACAGCCCTGGAGCAGTTAGTTCCTCAGAGCTAGGCTAGTGACTTAATCCTTGTAGAGACAGGTGGCAGGTGCCAATTTTTAATTGGCATCAGGAAACAAAAATATACTTCAAAAATCAGCAGTCATGGAATGTTCTCGAATATCCAATTCTTGTTCTAGTGCAAATATTAATTAGAATGTCGGGTTGTGGTGGAGGCAGAAGCCATTGTGCTCAATAAACAGAGCTACAGGTAAAGGTACTAATAGAATTACTAAAATTGCCAGCCTGGTGTCCGCCATAATTTCCTCCTGTTATTTTCACTGGAAACAAGAGGCAAGAATAGATAACAAGTTTCTATGCCTTTGGTCAGTACCAGTCTCAGCAACCTTTATTAATCTCTTGAGCACCTCAGTTTACTGAAGATGAGCAATGCATTAGCCACTGCCAAAAGTAACCAAAATCCAGATCTAACCTTTTCCCCATTAACGAGCATCCCCCTTCTTACGGCCTTCACGCTTGCAATGGAAAGCTAGGTCAAGTGGGAGTCTCTATGTCTGTAAAGAGCAAACAGAGCAAGACAGCCAAGAATATGTAATTTAAGTGAAACTAAAATGATTCTCCTTGAGGGTCTCTTCAAATTTCCCATCTGGAGTTTAATTATCTTTGGGAATGATGAAACTATCGAAGCCCTACCTCACAATCTTCACACTTGTTCATTGGGTAAATATTTATTAAGTGCCTATTCCCTGACAAGTCTCATTCTAGGCATTGAGGACTGAGTGCTGAACAGAACACAGCTGTTGCCTGCAAGGAGCTTACATCCTATGGGAAGAAGCCATGTAACAACGGAATATGTAGTGAGTCAAAAGGCTGTCAGAGGGCTTCCCTGGTGGCGCAGTGGTTGAGAGTCCGCCTGTTGATGCAGGGGGCACGGGTTCGTGCCCCGGTCCGGGAGGATCCCACATGCCGTGGAGCGGCTGGGCCCGTGAGCCATGGCCGCTGAGCCTGCGCTCCACAACGGGAGAGGCCACAACAGTGAGAGGCCCGTGAACCGCAAAAAAAAAAAAAAGGCTGTCAGAGTATGAAAAAAAAAATAAAGGAGAGTAAGGCGGACACTCTAAATAAGATGGCTGGAAAACTTCTCTAGTAAGGAGAAGTCTGAGTGGAGAGTATTTGGAAGACTATTTGAAGGAGTGAGGCATGCAGATCTGGCAGAAGGATGAACAAAGCACAGGCCCTCAGCATGGAACCAAGCCAGAGCAAGGCAGCCACGTGGGTGTGAGGGCAGGCGGGATACGCCCAGGGCCTCTAAAGGGAGCTGTTAGGAGTATTTAGAGAAGAGGAACACGAAGGCTCACTCCGCTGTTGTACAGAAAATAAACTGTAGGGACACCCTGGTGAAAGCAGGGTGGCCTTTGCAGTAATCTGTGCAAGAGATGCCGGGTGACAGGGGTGGGGAGCCAGGAGAACTGGCCATATTCCGAGAATATTCTGAAGCTAAAGAAGACACAGGCTGATGGCCTAGATGTGGGGTGAGAGCGAAAGGGCCAAGACTGACTTTACAGACTTTGCCTAATGATACCTCATTAGATAGTGAGGTGGAGATGGAAAGTGACCCGGTGCATGAAAATCCCTTCAGGATACCTGAAAACAGAGATCAGCGGAGAAGAGAGGTAGAAAACTGCTAGCATAAAGAGAGCCTCGAAGAGCAACAGCTGTCATTTCAAAAAAGACAGAGGGTAGGAGATGAGGGAACACACATAACAAGTGCATGGTTTCCTACATAATATGGAAGAGAGAATGGAGCCCTACCCACAGTATTGGAGTGAGGATCAAATGGTACAAAAGGGCCTCTCTCTTTTACAGAACGTCAAATGCCATCTAAACGTCCGTCAAAAGTACTAGCGAGGGCTTCCCTGGTGGCGCAGTGGTTGAGAGTCCACCTGCCGATGTAGGGGACA